AGTTTAAGTTTAAGTTAAGTAAAGTAAAATAAACTACGTACATAGTACGTAAAGTAAAAGTAAAACGTTAACGTACGTACTAGTATATATTTTTTTATGAAAGTGCAGCTCTCTCACCCCTATGCAAACCTCAACCTGTGACCCAACAACTCCGTGAGACCTCAGAAACCAAATCTACCTCTCTCTATGAAACAAAATATTTTCATTTTCTTTCTTAAAAAACAGAGAAGCTCAAGCCCCATCCATGGCAACCGTAGGCGGCGGCATCTTTGTAAAGCCAAGGCCCTTTCTCTCTCTACAAAAGGCGAGCCTTTTCTCTCATACCACACCCATGGGAAACCCCTTCTCTTCATGAATAAGGAGAAGCTTGGGTTGCAAAAAACCAAAGAAGCTCAAGCCCTATCCATGGGGGGCCTAAGCGGCATCTTTATAAAGCCAAGGCCCTTTCTCTCTCTACAAAAGACAAGTCTTTTCTCTCAAACCACACCCATGGGAAGCCCCTTCTCTTCATGAATAAGGAGAAGCTCGGGTTGCAAAAAGCCAGAGAAGCTCAAGCCCCATCCATGGCAGCCCTAGGCGGCATTTTTGTAAGGCCAAGGCCATTTCTCTCTCTACAAAAGTCGAGCCTTTTCTCTCATACCACACCCATGAGAAACCCCTTCTCTTCACGAATGAGGAGAAGCTCAGGTTGCAAGTTTGCTTATTGTATGGAAGCAAATTTTTTACTGCTGTGAGAGATACAGGAAAGCCTTTTGGATTGGCAAGAGAATTTTGGAAGGGTAGAATGCGACTTTGCTTTTAGTATGTTAACTCCATCCAAACAGTCCAACATAATGATAAAAAAAGGTGGCAATGTTTCTTGATTAAGGATGAGCAAACTTGCGCTTTTTTTCAATGTGAAGGTTTTATTATTTGACATCCAAACTGACCCTATAACATATATATTTCTAATATATTATTTTTGCAACTAAATATTATTTAAAAAATGTGATTAATCTTGTTTCCAAAGTCCACGCCTTTTTTATATATGTATTGTACAGGCACTCCAACGGTAATCCCAAATCAAGGAACTCCTAGCAAGCAACGAACCTCGATTCTGCCGCAGCACCAACTCCCACCTCTAACAACTATGTTCACAACCAATTGTAAACTTTGCTTTTGAGGAATAAACTATGCTAACTCCTAGTATGAATTAGCTCTTTCGACATTTTCTTCTTCCTTTTCCATTTTATCAACTTTGCAATGACACATTCATGTTGTAGGTTATTTTTGAAGCACTTTGTCCCCAATGCACATAAAAGAGGAAGCAGTTGCAACCATGCCCTGTAGGTACCAAATATGTCTATGGACTGCAGAAACTTGCACAGAATAAGCCTTGAAGAAAAATGGTGTCATCTCGGCCCCAAAAAATATGTGAGAGTGACATTTGACGTCCCAAAGTTTGTCCCCAAGTTTTGGCCCAACCAGACAAAGGCGCAAGGGAACAGGATGAAGATTCAGTTTGGAGTGCTATGCTCTAATGTGTACAAGGTACACCATAGCTAAAACTCCATGAGAATGATCTCGGATGGTCACTAGACCACCGTAAACAGCTTCAGAAGGTCTCAAAACCCTTAACTAGCAAGTTTCAGCTCAAACGGACCTTTTCTAGGTCCTACTTTTCAAAAAAGGGTGGTTTGTTTACTATTCACGTGCAAATAGCAAAACCAGTTACTAAAAATAGTAAAAACCTGCTGCATTTTCTAAAAATGGGACAGTTTTGTGAAGTTCATATCTCACCGACCATAAGGCGGATCGAGCTCAAATTTTAGTATGCTCTCCTTGCCAAGGGGAAGATTTTGACATATGGCACACCCCAAGCCGATCATCAAGCTAAGAGAAATCTTAGAGTGAAGTTTGCACCAAAAGTGCATTATGCAGATTTTTGCATGCAGGGCTCCAACGAACATAACTTGAAGCCTAGAGGTACTATGGACCTAAAAATAGAGGAATTTCATCAGTGACTCAAAGAGCTTCGATTTGACGTAAAATGCGCCCAAGAAAAGGATTGGGAAGGCACCTAATCAAGGCTCGCAAGAAGGTACAATTTTCGAGTTATTGAAAACCACTTTTCTGACGATGGTCAATTGGAGGCCAAATCGCATGGTTTTTTACGCAAAACGATCATAATGACTTCCTCTTCAATTAACCATAAAAAAGAAGACCAAAGAAGCAACATTTTGAGCTAGATCGAGCAAGGAAAAAGTTTAAGTTTGCATGTTTGACCGGAAAAGTTACAGATTTCAAGAGCAATACTCCAAAACATCATGCAAATCAAACATCAAAACGATCATCTCAGGACGATCTACGTTTTCATGACGATAGATCGCTCGAAACATCACCGGATATCATTAAAAAAAAGCCTCAAACCATGTGGATGGGAAGAGGCCCCTATTTGGGGACTTATTTGTCATTTTCATGTTTCATTAGGATCGTAATTGGTCATTTTTGCCCAATTTCGGGATTTCACTTGTATTCATTTTAGTTCTATTTTTAGGCAATTCTCTTGGGTTTCGAGTGCACCCCCATGTTCAAGGGGTGCCTTTATATAAACTCATGCATTCTAAATTGTAAAAGGAAGGAAAAGATTAGCTTGAATACATTGAAAATTGTGAGTGAAATTAAGGCTTAACCTAGGAGAGAGAGTGTGTTCTTTGAGCTTCTTTGCAAACCCTTTTGCCCTGAGTGAGGAGAGAGAAAATTTTATACTCAAGAGGACTACCGCCCTCTAGCATACTCCTTAGGTGGACCAACCCCTACTCCCTCTCCCTCTCACCTCTCCATTCCATTCCCTCTCACCCTCTACCCTAGCTGCCCCTCTCACCCTCTACCCCTAGCTGCCCTTCTCTCTCACCCTAACCTAGCCACCCCTCTCTCACCATATTTAGCTGCCCCCCTCTCACCCTCTACCCTAGCCGCCCCTTTCTCTCACTCTAAACACCTCTAGCCGCCCCTCTCTCCCTATACCCTAGCCGCTCCTCTCTCACCCTAACCTAGCCACCCCTCTCTCTCCCTAACCTAGCCGCCCCTCTCACACCCTAACCTGGCTGCCCCTCTCTCATAGCCGCTCCTCTCTCCTAGCCGCCCCTCTCACACACACTATCTCCCATACCTCTCTCTCTTCCTACCTAGCTCCCACTCTGTAAGGAGACTTGCTCTTGGGTTAAACATCAAGGTAAGACCTGGTGATCACCCCTGACTCATCCCCGAGGTATTTAAGCTAGTGGCTAGTACATTTTTGCAGTCTCCAGTATTGCCTCCTAGGGGAGGTGACACTGGAGGCTCGTGGATTTTATTGAGTGGTTCAACCAAACCCAAACCCATCCAACGTAGGTTCCTTCCTAACCCTCAACCCAACCAACATTCATTCCTTACCCTCACCCAATGAAGACTCGTTCCTAACCCTCAACCCAACCGAGGCTCATCCCTAGTCTTTAAACCAACCTAGACTCATTCTTAACCCATCTAACCTAGGCTCATTCATACCCCTTAACCAAGCTTACCTCACTAAACCTTAATCTACTAAGCCTAACCTACCAAGTCTTGACCCACTAAGCCTAGTTTACCAAACCATGACCCACTAAGCCTAACCTACCAAGACTTGACCCACTAAGCCTAGCTTATCAAACCTTGACCCATTAAACTAGACCCATCCCTACACCAACCAAGCTTCTCACTCAAGCACACACCTTTCTAAGCCTAAAAGACAAACCGAAACGAACCATCCAAGTGTGCACATCGAGAGAGGTCCATGAAAGAGTTGACTCCAAACCGAGCCGAAAGGCCGGGGGGTCTTTCTGTGGGCGCTCCAAGGCGCAGAGATCTAAGAGGGAAAACTTGCCTGGGTGCATCTGACCCCAACACCATGAAGTTCGAATCTTTCTTTTGTTGGTTTGAATGGCACACATTGCACCACCCAACCCTTATCCTAGTGGGCACCAGGGTTACCCTCGTGAAGCGCATGCACTTTAGAGAGGGTGTGGCACATATTTTTTTCTCTTTCTAAAAAGACAAAAACGGAAGAACTCCCGGTTTTAAGAAAGTAGTTTTTTTCTCGTTTTCTGCAAAAACCCAGGGTCGATCAGTTCATCTTCTCCGAAAAGAAAAATATTTTAAGAAATAACATCTTCTTAGTATTTGACTCACACATAAAGCTAAATATGAGGCAAAATCCTGCCAATGATGTCTCTTAGAAGATAAATATGAGACAGTCAATTAGTGCAGTTATATGAACAGACTAAATATGCTGGAAACTATTTATATGAACAGATTCAGTGAAAATGAACAAGAAATATAGTCATATCTAATACATAGTTGGGTTATTCTTCAGTAGCATGTTTTATTTACTTACTCCAAATATCTAAACAAGTAATATTACTTAAAATCATGAGATTATCAAACACATTATCCTCATGTAGGGGAAAAATATCATTTTCTTGTAAATGATGAAGGGTAAGTGAAAATGTGAGAATGCATTGGTCTGCATAAATAGAAAGAGAAAGAAGAATTAAACCAATACTATCAAGTTCTCTGATTATGAAAAGGGATTTTCTCAACCATCATTTCATTACTCAGCAAGTGGCATGTGTCCAAAAAATTGCACAGAAAATTCAATATGAGATTTGCATTTTGCACCTATCACGGTACGCCGGGAACATGCCGAAGATAACTCTCAATATTTCCAAGTCATCCAGCTGGACACCCTGTAGTGAACAAATGAATTGGATCAAGCCTATACACTATAGAAAAAAACAAATAAACATTTTAAAATAGAATATTTGAAATGAAAAGCATTATTATTTCCAAATATCATCGTGCACTATTTCCAAATATCAGTATGCACTAGTCTGAATCTCCTTCCTTTTTCATGAACAAAACTGATTACTATACCATCTCCACCCGAAGTCTTATAGAAACCAACCTAGCAAGTACGAAAGTAATAAAACTATACACGAAATTTCGAACCAAAAGCTCTTCCTCAAGAACAAAAAGTGAGAATATTATAAACGGCGCATCTAGAGAGGAGACTTTTGATCTTTACTCTCGAGCCTGTAATGGGGCTGATTTTTCACTTAGCCTACCCCACAGTGTCAAGCCTAGTCGAACATGGACTAAGGCAAGGCCAGCCTTTCACTACCCACACAAGAGGAAAGGAAAACAACCACACAAGGGATGCACAAGAAATAGAGAAAAGGCCATGAACCTCTCTTATTACTCCATAACCTTGGTCATGTACAACTATGGATGCCCTTCAAGGGTCAAGGGAAGGGGTTTATATAGCCCCAAGAATACACCCATACACTCGTCTTCATTTACCTTGGCCATTAAGGTTTGTACGACATTACTGCCCACCAATTCACAACCCACGCCCATCCTTCAATGACTTGCCACATCGCTCCTTAACTAGGGGGTGGTTGTTTCATGGGGGGATTGTATCATAAACCTGTCAACCTACTCCATAGGTCATAATCATGCATGCCAATTCAAACATGAATAGTCATTACACGGTTCATTACGTCCACTTAGCCCACTACATATGCACACACCCTCACATGGCTTATGGCCTTAATCTGCATTCCCTCACTCTAGGTTCAACACACCCATCTAGTCTGGTGTATGCTCAGCTGCATGTTGCATATAGTCAATACCTATGTCCCATCAGGTGAGACTGCCTGAGGCCAGACCAACCAAGCTTCAGCCTATTGGTCTCAGTTATCTACCAAGCCTTACCAACTTTAGCCATCAATCCACAACACTTGCCTAACGCCTCACACTAAGGGTTTTTAGCCGCAAGCCCACATGTGTACACATCTGTGCATCACACTGCACCAGCCTTACTCTCACTCAACCAAGGCTGAAGTATCTCACCTCCCTTAAATGAGTTTGTCGGTCTAAACAGTTTGGCTGCCAAGACAGATAGCAAATCCTCCCAAAGTAGCACAAGTTCTAAAAAACTTGCGAGTTAAAAATCATTATGTCGCTAAGAGGTGATTGCATGATGTTCAAAAGGTACCAGACAACCCTTTTTATAACTACACACTACTGGAATATAACAAGTTTTTTTTTTTTTAAAAAAAAAAAAATGAAATGTAGCAAGTTGGTAAGACTTCTCTACTTTACAAAATGAGAGTTAACTCTAAGAATTTAGTGTTTTCATGGTCCAACAGAATTGCATAAAATCACATCATAATCTAGCCCCAAAAGATATTGCAATAAAAGAAAAATGTCGACCCTCCATTAAACCAAAGATGTATTTTGAACCCAAATTATGCAATAATTTATATGGTCTATACAAGGCATTTCTGACCCCTGAAGAATGGATGTTCTAGTACTGAAATATATGCCAGAATATTTCCATTGAATTGAACTAATGCAATAAAAAAATTTATAGGCTTCAGAGCAATGCCATTTAGTGGCAGGAACGTTTGAAATTTGAATGCAACATTACCTCTGATCTCACCTTCTAAACAATTACTTATCCACATCCATATATGGCACATGTAATAGGTCAGAGATTGCTAATGCATCGTCCACAATATCCAATTGGGTCCAGAATATGGTAGCATTTTACATGTTGAAATAACATTGCTGAGTGAAAGAGGGAGTCGGTTGTGTCAATCTTGGTTTGAGTTTACCATTCTAGGTTATGTCCAAGATTATTTAGGAGTCTACAATTGAATGGAGTTATTCTTATCTCCCTCTTGGAGTTATCTCTTCCTAAGATCAATGTATAGGTGAGGTGTGAGACATGAAGCATTAAAACAAAGTCTAGTTGAGGGTGAGAGACTTAACGAGATGGAGGAGTGTATAAGGGAGAGAAACAATTAAAGAAAGAGAAAGATATAGAGAATTGTAGAGAGAAGATTGAGCTTTTAAAAGAGTCCACTGTGGTCAATATTGAATTTGAATAAAAAGGTTTGTGTGTGATCCCAAATTATTTCCTATTTCTCTCTTCTTCTCCTCCCCCCTCATGCATGTGAGTGCCCAGAAATCAGGCTCGTCGACAATCAAAGCTTTTATGATTCTTTTCAACAATATGTTCTCTATATGGTGTGAAAGGAATCTTTCTTCAATTTCAAGCATATTAATATAGTTTTGGTTGACAGGGATCTTGGCATTGGGATTTCAGAATAAGAGCCAATGTTTTGAGTCACCTCAACGATATCACTAAAATGGACAAGGAAAACTCATGCTAAAATGTAAATTGGGTTGTCTGCTGCGTCACCCAAAATCATCAGCTACAAGGATAAGTAGAGAAATGAAGTGACAGTTACATTAACTTCTGACTGAAAAACAATTTCCTGGGAGCCAAAAACTGACAAGGAAATTTTGCAACGAAGGATATATCAAGCATGAAATCAGAGGGCTCTTCATTGTGCCTATGTGCCCTAACACAATAAAATTATGCATATTTATGGGAAGAAGTTATAAGCAGAAGAAAAACATGAAAATTTCGCATAATTCGAGAGAATTCCCCCAACCATAGCATTAAAGTCAACCAGTAGGGTTCTTTTGCTATATAATATTGATATGAAATGCTCTACCTGATAAGCTGGCATCAAATCCCAGTAGTCATCTAATAACTGTTCCAGCGAAGGACAACCACGTAGGTCATCGACATAAGTGAACAGGTAAGTTGTCCTATCAGTGGGACCAGAACCTGATGGAAAGGCCTGCCACACTATTTGAAAATCAGCAAAAGAATCCTTCATCAACTATAACGATTTAAAATCTCAGAATCATGTTTCCTGTGTTAGTATCGAACAAAGCACACACTACCATATTTGCAAGTAACTTCATAACTGGAGATGCCAGCCTGTGGAAGTACGGATTAAAGAGCAATTTTATGGCAATGTGGTAAAGGAAAACTGCCATTTACACGGTGCTGCTGCTTCCAAGGCTTTTCAAAATAACTAATTGAAAAGCAAATATCCTACACAAATATGATAGAATACACCATAGCAATACTTATAGCTCTTGTAAATATCATGGAAACACTACTTAACAAGCAAATTAAGGTCTTACATAGGTTCTGTTCCCATTTTATTACTAGGTTGTTCTTCAAGAACTTCCAGTAATCATCTTTCAATAAAAGGTGGCAATGGTGCAGACAACAATTTAAATATATCAATATAGAATGGCACTCCAGTCATGTACTCTTGAGATTCAGCACCCAGATCATAAAATTCCTGCTTACTTCAAATTGATATTTCATTTGAATTGCATCCACTGGAAAGTGAAACTATGTGATGTTTGGTATGTCCAATGTAGATTAAACAGAAGGCATTACCTCCCAAAAGTACTGGACTCTCGAATCTTCAATTGTTTTTACAGGCAAATTGCTAAAAATGACATCACTTGTTACATTCTCCTTAAAACCACGAGAACAAGTTCCAACCACAAGGCACATTCCATCTGGTTTCCTTTTTGATCTTATCTACAGAAGAAATGAATATTAATGTTTTAGAATCTCAACATTGTATGAACATAAAAAAAATTGTGTAGGATGCAGAATAAAAGTAGAATTTTTTCAAAATCCATCTCCCAATAAAGAAACTAACTTTGGATTTAGTTTCCCTATGGACAATAAACATATGAAATATCAAATTATATATGGGAACTATTTTGATGTAAATATATAACAAATATGACATGGGAACTAACCTGTTTCACGATGGGGGAGAAATTGCCCATTGCATCAATTATTAGACGTGAATATAGTTTCTTTTCTTTATCAATTTCTAGAACCTGCAAGGAAATGTTGAGTTATAATTACTAATTTCTGAATTTTTTCATGCTTCAAATCATCCTACCATATACATTACACACACACACACACACACACACACACACACACACACACACACACATACATATATATATATATAGGCGGATAGTGATCAGGCGGTCCATCCATCAAATGAAAGAATGGATTGGGCTGGCCATTTGACCGTATCTGCTAATCTGTTCAACCAAAGATCCGACGGTTGAGTATTAATATATATATAGATACACACACACACACATTTGAGTACTCAAACATAGTAATAGATACGATACTGATTTACAAAGTCAATAGTCAAAGCAGTTTCTCAAAAAAAAAAGTGAATAGTCAAAGCATAGCAATGTCCTGTTGACAAAGGCAGATGAGAAAATCAAACTCAATGAGCACATTTACGTAGTCTATTCTTTAAGAATTCCAGTGCTGATGTGCTGCAGAGTAGGGTATCATACCATCATCCATTAATCAAGATTCCTCATTATTTGTCTAACATTTTGGAGAAAAGATTTCTTTTTGATAAAATATTTCGGAGAAGAGATTATTATTCTGCTGATTTATCCAGATAATATGGTTTTTCTAGTCCTCAAGCAAAAATTATAACAGCAATCGAAGCTGCATATTTTCCTAACCTGGAGGTTTCTCAATCAGCCTAGGGCATTGGGTTTTCCAAAGAAGCAATGCCCAAAGCTGATAACTCAGGCATGGCTCATCAATAAGGAGTCTATTGATCCATACTAGAACAAAGTGTCAAGCATTACACTTTTGATATTTTGGCCTTTTCCCAATTCTTACACATTCCATAATTCAGTTGGGGCATTGTTGAATATTGACATTATTGTTGGAATTAGAAATCCTATTTTAGAATCCAACTCAAAAGCACACCACCAAGAAAACAGTAAACTAATTATGACCAAGTCCCCATGGTCAAGGATGCATCCCCACGCCCAACGCAAACCATATTAGCAAGAAGATCAACCATGCAGTTACCCTCACAAAAGGTGTAGCCAGAAAGATCTGACTACATATTTTTCCTCTCAAGGATAGAATCACACACTATCAGAATGGATGAGCAACTCATGTAAATACAATGCCAAGTCTGTTTATAAACAGCCAAAGCTCTTAAAGGTGTGGTACGACGAATACCAAGGTAATAAATCCAAAAATTTCTCTTTTCTCTATTAATAGCTGGAATTTCTACTTGCAAAATAGGTTAACATTATTAAATAAAAAATAAAAAAATTTCTATTTTCAATTGACACAATACAAGGCATAAATAAACCTACTATAATTTAGGATCTTTAACTCTTACTGCCAAATAAAAATTAAACTGAACTCAAACTTAAATTCTAATATAATTGGGAATTCTAATCTAAGTGGGAGTCCTAGACTAAGTAAGAATCCTAATTCAATAGGGCTTCTAATACAATTAGGACTTCTAAAACAAATATGAATTAAGAAATTGAAAATAAAACTAAGAAGACTCACTGAACCTTTGCCTAGGGTTACCCCCTTACCCCCTTAGGACTTAGCACACTCCACACCCAATTACCAAACCAATGGTGCACAATGATCCTTTGGTCCTGCTAAATCCTCTGAGCTAGGAAGAACCTTTGGAATACCCTCTAACAGGTCTATGGGGCTGAGACACTTGGTCTTTGGCTGGAGGCTTATGCATTAAAGTTACCTACTGATGATTCCTTTACTTCCAAAGGAATTCCTTTAGACTCTCAATGTTCGCTATGCTTCCAGAGTTGTGAAACTAGGTGTCATATCTTTCTTGATTGTTTATTTTCACTTGCTTTGTGGAGATGGTTCTTGGAGATATTTGGTATCCAAGTGTGGCCGAATGTTTTAAATATGCAGGAACTATCTCAGTGGTGGAACAATAAAGGTAGAACAACTACCTTTTCCACAAATATGGAGAGCTGGATTTATACTTACTCAATACCACATCTAGGGGGAGAGGAACTCAAGACGATTTAATCAACAAAAGAGGATATCCCTTGTGGTCATCACAAGTATCAAAAAACACATTATGGAAGCTGCAAGAGGGGGAACTTATCACCGAAAAGTCCTTTAGATCTCCAAATCCTGAGGACCTTTGATATCCCTGCAGGACGGTCAAGGCCAAAAACTCCCATGGAGATCATATGGAGGAAGCCGGCCGAAGGAAGGTTCAAGCTAAATTTTTGATGGTTGTGCACTGGGCAATCCAGGTCATTCTGGGGCGGGTGGTGTTTCCAGAAATTCAATGGGCATACCAGGTTAGACTTTTTCATCTTATCTGGGTAATACAACAAATTTCTTCGCAGAATTTTCTGCTCTGTTCCAGGGTATTGAGATTGCAAAGAAGTAAGGTGTGGAAAGGCTTTGGATAGAATGTGACTCAATAGCTGTTATTGAAGAAATTAAAGGCAAAAAAATCCCATGGAAATTTTCACAAAAATGGCTTATCCTTCGGACCTATTTGGATGCTATACCTTGGAAGATAACACACATCTCTATACCTTGGAAGATAACACACATCTTCAGGGAAGGAAACAATGTGGCTGACCTACTAGCAAAGAAAGCTGCATATTCTTGACTGACCAATTTCTGGGACTATCTACCTGATTATGTTCGGACTGAGATTACTTGGGATCTCATTGAGTACAAAAGATTTCGATTCATTACTTAGTCGACTGTTAACACTGCTGATGGCATTGCCAAAGGTGGTGTTCTCAGTTGTTTCTTGTATTATTGTATTTCCGTCTGGGAATGCCTAGATGTACCCATCTATTTATTAATAATATTGCTTACCTTTAGCAAAACAAATCTATGGGGCTGAGAGCACGGGCTACCAGAACAAGGGTTTCATAGATTCTTTAAAATGTTTTTGGGGCATGCTAAGCACCTCCCATTAACCAAGATATAGGGGGGCATGCCTCTTCTTCTTGACCCAGTTGGGGCATGCCATCCTACATTCTTATGGGTGGTGGCATGCCACCCTAGAGAGAAAGAAGGCTAGAGAGAGAGAGAGAAGATGCCATGGAGGGGGGGAGAGAGAGAGAGAGAGAGAGAGAGAGAGTGTCGAACAGAAGGAGTAGTAGGTAGGACGTACCTATTATGTCGCTACAGTCGACGTAGGTACTACTACGTTAGTAGTAGAGTATCGTAGTTACGTACGTAGTACT